GAATCAGGGCTAGGGGGGGAAGCAAATCGGCCGGCGGGGAGCGGGACCGAGCAACGCCGGGTACCTCCAGCTAGTAATCATATATTAGTTGCTTCTCTTCTCTCCCTCTCCCTCCATTCTCTTTACTTGTCTATCTTTAGACTGTGAGCTCTTCAGGAGTTCTTTATTTAGACAACACTCAGCACACCATGAGAACTACCGGGCATAATCCAATAAATTATTCTCTCTCCTTAATTGTGATGCATACCCCAGTCCCTCTAATGGCAAGGAAGGATTTTTCCCTAGCTCTCTAACATGCAGTAGACATAAGATAGTTATGTAACCACACATGGTATCATTGGATTAGCTCATCAAAGCACTGAACACCAGCCCTAAGGTGTTTCAGAGGTCAGCTAGAGCAGGGATTTTCAATTTTTTTTGGTGGAATAACTTGGCCACCCCCCAGCATGCTATATAAATTCCCTACTGCGGCACAACAGTTTTTTCTGCATATTCAGTAGACTAAAAGCGAGGGCTAGCACTAGGGGGCAGCAAGTGAACCATGAAGCTAAGGCTACGTTTATAATTACTGCGCTGGAGATCAATCTTCTAGCATTCGACTTAGCAGGTCTAGTAAGGACCTGCTAAATCGAACACTGAGGATGTCCCTGGTTGGCACCGGTATGCCTCGATTCACAAGGAGTAAGGGAAGTTGACGGGAGCTTTTGCTCCCAACGACCTCCCGTTGTGGAGATCACGCCAAGCTCAGCTTAAGGCAGGGCTACTCAACTTTGGAAGCCCCGGGAGCCACAATGATACTCACAGCACATGCTGAGGGCGGCAACTTAAACAGAAATATACATGCAAATAGCTTCTTTCACACTGACGGGCATGAATACAAAGATGAAGGCAAGACTGCACAACACACAGGCCCCACTGAAGTCAGTTCTGCCGATATTAATAAAATGCAGTACTGACCAGATTTCCACCCATGTGACAGCACTTTTAATGAGAAATGAAAACCCAGGAATTTAACTACTAAAACGCATATCGAAAGAAGACCATTACATTGATTCACCATTGTGGAGTGTGTTCCCAGTGGAGGCCATGTTCAAAGGATCTCATCCACAGGCCACATGTTGAGCCCCGTGTAAACCCAAACTGCACCACGGGCCGTAAACAAACGGGCCATGTGTTGACTAGCCCTGGCTTAAGGTATGTCGACTTCAGCTTCCTAATTTATGTAGCTGGAGTTGCATACCTTAAGCCAACCTTCTGGGTCCAGTACAGACCTGGCCTAAATTACTCATGCATTGGCTTTAACCTTGAGTGACGGGGCGCAGGCTCTGGCTTCAGCCCTGAACGGCATAACTTGGGCTTAGTTCTTCTGTCATGGGCTCCAGTGAGTCTAATGCTGGTCCTTCTTACGGGGAAATTTTGAAGAACCCCCTGAAACCTGCTCATTGACCCCAGACCTCTGGCTAAGAGCCACCGAGCTAGAGCCCTGTGGGGAAAAGTCAAGAAGGGTAGGATAGGTAGACATACTGGTAAGTTTGGGTCAAAGAAATACAGAAGATTCCAGAATTACTGAATCTGTAGTCTTCTGCTCTACCATTCTTATTCTGACTTTAAAGCATGAATGCAACTAGCCACTGGTTTCATGATCTGCGAAACAATCACTTGAACTTAGTTTAAATGACAGAGATACAGCTGTATTAGTCTGGTCTAGTTGAAACAAAAGACAGAACTATGTAGCACTTTAAAGACTAACAAGATGGTTTATTAAGTGATGAGCTTTCGTGGGCCAGACCCTCTTCCTCAGATCAATATGTGGAAGAAAATTGGCACAACCATATATACCAAAGTGATACAATCAAAAAAATGAACGCATGTTAAATTGACAAATCAAATTTTAGAACAGAAGGGGGAAGGTTAGTGTCTGTGAGGTAATGACATAGGGATGATAATAGGAGAAGCTATCTTTGTAATGGGTGAGATAATTAGAGTCTTTGTTGAGACCCATACATAAAGTGTCAAATTTAAGCATGAATGACAATTCAGAAGCTTCTCGTTGAAGTCTGGAGGTAAAGTCTCTTTGAAGCAATATGCATGTTTTAAGATCATTGAGAGAATGGTCAGTCTGGCTGAAATGGCAAGCAACAGCTTTCACTCTGTGAGAGAGTCTTTTGTCTGTTTTGTGTGCATTGATTCTTTGGCGAAGTGTCTGAGAAGTATGTCCAATGTACATAGCGCACGGACACTTTAGGCACATGATGGCATAAATTATATTTCTGGATGAACAGGAATATGTGTTCTTGATCTTGCAACTGGCATGGTTAGGTCCAATAATGGTGTCAGCAGAGTAAATACGTGGACAAAGCTGGCACCGGGGTTTGTTGCAAGGGAAAGTTCCAGGGTTGGTATTAGTGTGGTATGTCCTGTGGTTGTTGATAAGAATCTTCCTGAGGTTAGGTAGTTGTCTATAGGAGACTATGGGTCTGTCTCCCAGAGCCTTTCTGAGTGTAGTATCCTGTTCCTGTATAGGTTGTAGTTTATTGATAATGCGTTGGACGGGTTTAAGGTGGGGGCTAGAGGTGATGACAAGTGGTGTTCTATTGTTGGTTTTCCTGGGTCTGTCTTGAAGTAGATGGTTTCTGGGTATTCGTCTGGCTCTTTCAATTTGTTTTTTTATTTCTCCGGGTGGGTAATTGAGGTTTAAAAATGCTTGGTAGAGATCCTGAAGTTTCTGGTCTCTGTCAGTGGGATTAGAGCAAATGCGATTGTATCTAAGGGCTTGGTTATAGACGATGGATTGTATGGTGTGTCCTGGATGGGA